TAAAATCTTCCCGAGAAACCTGCCCATAAAAGCTAAGTATCAGAAGTCTGATTTACTTGTGCTAAATAAAAATATTTATGGGTGGCAGCTGAATTGTCTCAGTGAGAGCTTTTTCACCATCCTGCCTTCTTGAAACAAGCACTGGGATTCAGTTCACAACCCTGATATCCCTGTTTTGAAATGCTAGACTGGGGATAGTACTTTATGTAAGCCCTGAGTCAGATTGTCTGTAGTAACCATTGCTGTTAATAAACCTGTCTGCAGCAGGAATACACAAGTCAACTGTGCAAATGAGCAGGACATACCTGGAACATGAGAGATGTTTTTCACAGCAGATGGAATCTATTTGTAACACTGGCTAGGCTTGTTGTGGGTCATAAAAGTCATGTAGGAACATCTAGGAAGAAGAGAACAGCTGAATTTGTAGTTTTCCTTTTTACCTGATTGCAAGCAATTTACATTAATATTGCACCTTTGAATCAAACAGAATTCAAAGAAATTACAAACCTTCTCTACCTGATTGTATGACTGTAAAAGCTGTGAATAAAATGGTGGCATATGATACTTGAGGACAGCAAGTAAGGAATACTTACTACAGCTGAAACTGCAGGGGTGATGCTGGGATTCAAACTAAATTGACCTGTTTGGAGTTTGTCTGGGACTTTGGGATTCACACCTTAGACTCTGTATGGGACTTTTAATTATTACAGGTGGTTAGACCAATTTTCTCATCCAAGAAACAGAACATGCAATAGCTCCATTCCCTTTCTTCATCCCACAGCCAGGGAGTCCGATTGCTTACTGGACAAGGGAAAGCAAGTGAATCCCCCTAATTTGCTTAATAACATTTTTTTTCCCCCAGAGATCTTTCATGCTATACTTTCTATCCTTCCCCTCCTTACTTGCCTTACTGTTTGGGTTTTTTGTTACTGTGACCATAACAGCTCCTGAGCCATCTTTTGTTAAAATCACTGTGTCCCACCAATGTAAATCAACTGTGTCACTTAGGACAGAGGAAAAATGTCAGGCTTGTTAAGTTTTTATTTATTTCACTGTAGCATCAGTTTTGATTTTTAACAGTGTATTTTATTTCTTATTTGTGGCTTCATCAGCCATTGCTACTAGAAAACCAAGAATAGGCCTTTCCAAAACACTTCCTCAGAAACAGGCTCAAGATGAGAGTAAACCTGGGAGAAATACAGGTTTGGTAAGTGGAACCATAGGGCTGTAATGGTAACATTCAGACTGCTGATCAAAACCAGCCTTTACCCCTTTTTTCCAATGCTTAAAAGTCACTGAAGTTTACTGCTGAAGCTGAAATTTCCCAGGTTTGTTCAAAGGTGAAATAAGTCTGGGGTTTTTTTCATTGTTGTTCCCAGATTTTTTTCACATTAAAAAACTTTTAAATGGTTCAATGGTTCAGCCATTTTTATGAATTTTTTTTCCCAACAACAGAACATGTAGAAACAATTCCCACTTTAACAGGAGTGTTTGCTATCATATCCTGGATAGCATCACAGCCAAACCAGCATGGGGTTAAAAATTTTATATTTAGCATAGAAACATCTAGCTGAAAAATGCCTTTGTGTGCTCCAATGGAATCTGATTTTGACTTGACCGAATTTTGACCCTGAGGAAATTCCACTCATAAGCACAATCCATTCTGTATGGTTGTTCTCCACTGGGCTCAGAGCATGCATGGAGGAGGAAAGCAAGGTTAATGTGTATGTGTGCTTAGCTGATGTCCTTATCCCAGCACAGAGTCTTTAGGGACCTCAGTAATGCCCTGGGGGAGCAGTGCTGAGGGGAATGATGCTTCTCACATATCTCTGGCCAGATGTGTGAGTCCTTCCAGTCTTAGGGCCCTCCTGTGTCCTGAAGAATAACCTAAATGCCTAATGAGGTTAAAGGAGGCTTCTTGAGGAATTTGGAGTGGTCCAGCACCCTGTGCCTCATTAACCAGGGTCAGAATTGGGTGTGGTGAGGATACCTAGGGTCAGACAGAGCCCAGTCATCAGTAGGTCTGTGGTGTTGTGGCAAGTCCAAGGCCAAGTTAAGGAGTCAGTCTTCAGGGTGCAGATCATGTGTGTCCATGGCCATATAAAGGGGAAAGCTGTGGCAGGGCTGGAGACCAGCACTCTTACATTGTTGCTGGAACAAGTGGGTCCAGGATGGGGAGAGAGACTGGGGAATCTTAATGTCTGGAAATACTTCAGCTGCCTGGAAAAGGCCCAGATTAACTTTATCTGCCTCTGAAAATGGCTCTTCTTTGAGCAGGGATTTGGAGGAGACACCTCCAGCCTTCCCTCCCAGTATAGGTTAGTCTGATTCTACAAAGCCTGCTGATTTTACTCTTATATTACCAGTGGATGCAGTGAATGTTACTCACTCAGGCTCTACACTGTGTGTGACAGAAGATAAAGCAGAGATGCACCCACGAGAGGTGACATCCTCCTTACAGAGCAGCGGGACCGAGTGCTGCAAACTCTCACACTCCATGTTCTACCCAGAGCAGCCAGTGCAGTCCTCAGAAAAACAGAGCTAAGCACGTCTGCCAGTGCTTAGAGGACCATCATGTCAGGGAATATTTGCTGGCATTTAGAGTCCATTCAGGCTCCAAGGGAAGTCAGGGGAAGGCAAGCTCTCCGTCTGACTGCCTCGGGCCTGACCTGCCCTAAAGAAGGTCTGCCTGGCACACTGGGCACTGTGGCCTTGACTCAGCTGGGCAGTGTGGAGCGTGTGTCTTGCTGAATGAGAGCTTATGCATGTAGCTGAAATTGCTTTATAGGGCACAGTCCAGATCCCACTGAAATGCTCGGGAAGCTTTTGCCATGCACTTCAATGAAAATGTGATCAAATCTATGTCACCTGATTTTCCCTTAGGCTGAGGATAAAAATTGCTGCTCTGCTGCTTAAAATCAGAATGGACAGTACAGGGGCTGCCAATAAAAATATTACAGTGAGATATGTAAGGGGAAAGTCCTCTAGTAAGATTTCCTGCAATGTAGATAGACATAGAAGAGAAAGAATTAAAAATAAAGAGTTAAAAATATCTTTAGGTGTAGGAAAAAATGTAGCATCAGGACTAGAACAATTCAAACTTTGACAAGGTGTCCAACGTAAAAGAACAGTTTTATGCTTCATTTTAATGTATTTCCTGACTGATGATAATGCAAAGATGTCATTTTAATGCTCTTTGACAAAGTTGGTTATATAGCATTTATGTTTGAGCATTTACGTAAGAGACTAATTTCTCCTGTGAATTTATTTTTTAAGTCTAACTGGTGGCTATAGACATGTGTATAAAAGGAGAAAATTTCTAAATTTAAATCCTTCATCTTTCTTAATTCTGAAGATGTGGTAGTGTCTGGCTCATCAGATTTGGAGCCCTCTTAGAAACTGTGGGAATGTTTCTAAATTTGATTGTTAATCTATTGAACAGAAAAGCTGCCATTGGAGAGAATAAACTTCCTTTTAAAGTACTAGTAAATGTGCAAAAGTGCTTAGAGGCTTAGGAGGCAAAGTCTATTTACAGCTAGAAGATTTGGACTCTTAAGGGCATACAGCACTTTTGAAAATGGGACTTAAATGCTTCTAAGTAATTTGGGCACTATATAAAATCATATCTAATTTCCCTCTTTTTGCTCTGACATCAACACCAATCATAAAATGATTTATTATCCAGTTGATAGCAGAACTGGTTTTATGTGAAGCAAGTCCAAGAGAAAGAGAGATATTTCAGAAGTTAATGAAATAATTTAATAGCATTTAAGTATGGGAGGCAATACACATTCTTGGTTTCACTGAAATTAAATGCATTGGTTCTGTAGTAATTATATCCAAACTGGATGTTGCTCTCAGCTGAATGCTCATCCCTTGGAAACCTGTGGACTGTGTCTGATGGACTTGGTGCAGTAGCAGCCAGAGTCCATGTAGGCTTGCACACTCTTGGAAATCATAAATTATTCCTCTGTAGCCACAAGAAGGAGGCTAAGGTAACAATGAACAAACACTGTCATGGTTCAAACAGAACCCCAGAACAACAAAATCTTGTTTGAAATTGGATGATTTTGGAATATACTTGGCAAAAGGGATTAAGTACAGACTTCCTCATCACTTCAATGGATCAGACACATGCTAATCCCATCCTGCCTGGAGCACAATGTCCCGTCTCTTAGGGTGCACTGTTGTCAGGCCCTGGTTTCACACTGCTGCTGCTGTGGCTGACAGGAGAAAAGAGAACTTTCTCCACAAGATCTCAGTGGCACAGCAATTTGTAGGTGAGAAAGAGGCAGCTTCTCTCATGGAAGCTCTGCAGTTGGCTGTGGCTGTATTGGAGACACTCTTTAAAGGGTCAGGATCTCAGGGCTGGCTGGCTCTGTTGCCCCTTTATAGTCTCAGCTCTCCAAGAGTTTCCCTGGAAACTCAGCAACATTCAGCCACCCCTGCCCCATTTCCCACATGCCCTTAGGAACTCCACGAGGAAACTGGTTCCTTGGGATCCAGGCTCCATGCCAGATGGAACTCGGGATGTGCAGAGATGCTGAGCAGTAGGTGGCAAGTGCACAGGGGTGATTGCCAGCTGCTCCAAAGGGCAGGAGAGGTGTCCACAGGCCATGACACCCTCCTTGGCTCTCCACCTCCTCCAACTGCAGCACCTGGAACTGAGGCAACCAGGCAGTTTGAGGAGTGACAGGACTGGGTCATACAGAGGAGCCTGCTCATAGAGAGGTTCTAAGAGCCTCTTGAGCAGGCTCCCCTGCATGAACCAATGCAGGTACGAACCAAGCAGGCTCCTCCCTCCCAGCTCACCTCAGAGCTTTGGCTGGATCAGCCTCCAATCCTGATCCATCACTGGAGGAGACCCCTGACAGCCCAGGCTCCCTAGACATTTAAAACACAGCTCAGGGAACGAGTATAGCGAACAGCAATAAACATGATCATAAATCAAATATAATATAAACAAATAAAAAAAGCGAAACGTTGCGTTTTGTTCACAGTGACGATCCCAGCGGTTCCACAAGCAAGAAAGCCGGGTGTGAAACGGAGGATCCGAAGGAGGCCGGCAGACAGAGTGGCCAGGAAGGCAGGTCCGACTCCGTGACGCTAAAAGCCGAGCATGCGGAGCTCCAAGAAGAGCAGGCAGCGGGGTGTTCCCCTCTGGTGCAGAAGGCGAGCCTCCACCACACGGGCTCCCCAGTGAGAGTGCAGCGCAGCAAAGGGACGGCCTCGTGTTCCCATGCGGCTGCCTCCGATTATGAGCTCTCCCTTGACCTAAAGAATAAACAGGTACCAAGGCTTCCTCCTCAGGCTGTTGGGAGAAGGGGATGGGGTGGGTGGGACTGCATTTGCACTGTGGTGGAATGACTTTCAGCAGATGCATTAGCCTTTTGTTCACCTGGAGCTTTTGCCCTGCCTAGCCGGCCCTTTGAGCACGTGAGGCTGATGGAGGAAGTAGATTGCCCACCTGTGACTGAGTCATTCTTTCACCCAAACCTGCTGGTGTCAGCTCCTCGTTGCCTGGATTCAATGGTCCAAAATGGACCTAGAAACCCAGTTGTGAGTGTAGGCTTAGAGATGGGTTACAGGCAGCCAAGAGCAGCAGCATCCAAGGGTAGTGCCTTGTTCTCAAGTGTGCAGTGTCAACAGGGCTCCCAGCAACTGGTTGCTCCAAATTACCTCCCTCATGGGTGAGTCTCCAAGAACCATCTTGCCATCTTGGATCATGCAGGGCAGGCCCCCAGCACACTTCTGCATCAGCATGAGCTTTCAAGAGGAAGTGGGGTTTATTCAATGAGTGTCCTGCACAGAATCTACCACAACGTTTGTGCGCTGCTGGCACCACTGCCCTCAGTCCAGAGGAGGATGCTGAAGAGATAGGCAAGTTTACCAGGCTAAGAGGAAATAATTCTGTCCTAGAAGCTGCATTCTGTGCCTGAGGCTACAGCCTAGCTCCAGAGCACAAGCGTGCCCATCTCTGGCTGTGTGTCCCACTGGACTCCCAGCAGGAGACAGTGGGACAGGGGCTAATAGCAGCTGGCCTCCTCCTTCACACATGGAATGTGTCCCCTCCCTCCTCATCTCTGCAGATTACAGCCCAGGAGAGCTATTGTGCAAAACAGAACCTAAAGCATAATTTGTGCCTTTTCCCTGGGAAGGCAGCTCAGTCAGAGGCTGTAGGATATGCAGACCCTGCAGTCTGTGAGGTGAGGACAAGTGACGGGGGGAGAGTTCAGTGGAAGCTGTGCTATTGCAGCTGAAGGGTCTCAGCTAATGAGGTTTCCACAGAAGAAGCTGCTACTTCTGGGACATCTCTCTACCACTTCCCTCAAGGCACAGGTGTTGTCCCTAAACATACATGTCAGATCAATGACCCAACAGATTTCTGAGCAAAAGAGACACCTTTGCTCTCTAGCTGTCTTTCTCAAAATACTGCATACTCAGACAAAATTCTTGCTTCACACCAGAAAAAAAATAAGAGAGACTAATTAACTGGCTTCACAAGTTAATGTGACATATCTTCAGGGTGGGCCACATCTTGACTGCTATATATGTTCTTAGCCTCCTGGATATCCTACAGCTGCTCTGGTTTGTCCTGGGGAGTGTCTGTCCTGTGTTATTTTAGCTTTAAGGTCATGTATCATTGTTCTTGCAGCAGATCTGCCCTCGATGCAAGTGAACAAGAGAGCCATGTTTAGCTGATTGCTCATTAATGTCTGGTGCCTCACAGAACTGACCTTGCAGGGACTGAGCCTATCTCCTTGGTGAAACCACTTTTGTCATACCAAAGGGACCTTACAATTTGTGTTCCTCTCCAGACTCATGGATGTCTTCATTGAATTGCCTTCAGCTCTGGAAGGGGGGATTTTCAGGCAGTGATGAGTACTAATTCTTCCACTCTTGCACTGTAGTATGTGTTTCTATAGGTATTAGTATCAATTTACCCATCAGGTAGTTTTCTTAAATACGAATAATGGTGATAGGACCTCACAGGGCTGTCCCAGTAGAACCCTACTTATAGCAGAACTTGTAATATAGGAATAGAACTCACAGTAAGAGAGAAAGGTGCAAGGAGACATTTTTAGTCTCACTGCAGAATTGAAGTCACATTTACCTTTTGAGAGAGGACTGAGTGCTAGTAAGGAAGAAGGGCAAGATGCAGCCTCCTCTGCAAGACTTGGACCAGTCATAGCCCCTCAGCATCATCCTAGAGTGTTGGTGAGTGGGTTCTTGGCTCTCCTTCCTCCCTACCCCATGAAACAGAGAATTTTGACAGTGCAAAGAGCAGATGTACTCTATGCTGGGAGGTTGGAACAGAGACTCAAGTACTAAAGTTCCCCTGTTCTTAGACTCTGTAATGTTGGCAAAATGCAAGGCACCACAGGGAAGAGGAGCATGCTTTCAGTCATACATACACTTGGGCTGTGCTGAAGGGCAGCAGGTGTCCCATGGATGAAGGAAAGCACTCCATTAACAAATATCCCTTGTAGCAATGTCCTTCCATTGTGAGAGGCTGGAGGGAGGGAGAAGCATTAAGAATGAGTGACAAGTATGCTTTGTATGTCTGGTTTTTTTTCTAACTTTTTTTATGATGCATGCATTGCCTTGAGTGACTCAGATTCTGTCCCTGAGCCTGATTCTTTTCATGGTGGCACATCACCATGCTTAGTGGCAACCAGGGTAGAAAACCAGTGCTAACCGAGAATAAGATCAGGCCATGGTCTCTCCTGGCAGATTTATAAATTTATGCCTATGGGCACCAAAGCCATGGGGTGTGCACCTCAAATGTTTGGCCATATCTGGGCCTGCAGTTTGGCTTGCCTTTTGGCTTGCCTTGACCTTGTTAAATCTCCCTCCATATGCAATCCCTCATGGCAGTGGATATTTCACAGCCATTTCTAATTCAGCCACAATTGCTCAGAATGAGTGTTCATACTGAGGCCCAGAAATGTATTAAGCTAATTATTCTTTGAAATCCCCCCCGATCCCCCTCCTGCTCTTCCCTTCCTTTGGCGCCGGCTGTCGGATCATTCCCCAGAGAAGAGTAGCTTTAAGTAGGCAATTACTTGTAATTCATGGGGTTTATTAGGAGTGAGAGAAGGCCAATCATGTCTGGCCTTTCTCAGCTCTCAGATGGGAACAGAAGGTTCCTCCAGCCATCCAGACTTACATCTCCATTACCCGTGACTGCTGCAGTGCTAACAAACGCCCTTTCCTCCTCTGGAGAAGAAGAACACAGGCTACAGCTGTGTGAAGTCCTTAATTCCTTTGGACTGTCAGTTAGCTCGATCTGACAGCAAATGGGTATGTCTCAGACATCAATAAGCAGCAAATGTCTGGGCAACAGCAAAGAAAAAGAGACAGAGACCCACTGCTACCAAACAAGGGTGAGAACCCACTTCTCTCTATGGGGATGCTGCATACAGCTCTGCCAGTCTTCTCAGGCATCCCTTGGAACACTCCCTGTCTCTGTTATGCCTGCTGAAAGATAGTGTAGGATTCCCCTTGCTTTGGACAGTGCCAGTAGGCAGTGGATCACAGGCAGAACCCAGCCTTGCACCCCTGGTATGAGCTAGAAGACAGAGTATTTGAGGAGGAGTCCTCTCACTTCAGATCGAGGAGTCCTCTCACTTTAGACCTTGTTCTGCTCCTTAATGCCTTAGTCCTTTGGGAGCACTGAGATTATGGACTGCAAAAAGCTGGTGATGTTTTTTATCGAGGTACTGACAGCTTGCTCTGTTCCTTTGGACTTTTAGAAGGATCTCTCCTTGCTGGCTATTAAAGTCTGCCATTTTTGGCACTGTCCTTGCGTGAGATAAACTGGCCTTTTACTTTAGATCAGCAATGACATCTTGTCTTGCCCTCTAATAAGATCAGAGCATATGAATTTCATGTTTTCAGAATGGCTGTCACCTCCTTGGAAACCTCAGATAATTGTAAGGCTCTTGCTTCTGCTTTATTTTGCATTTTACTGTTATTCTGTCCCTCTCATTTGTTCCTCTTTCCCTCCTAACACAATTAGCTCTGCATTTTCATTAACCAGATCATTATTTTAAGTGCTCACGGTCAGTTGTCAGTAATAACTGTCTGGGTTGGGCCTTTGCAGGTTACTGATGTAATTTACATTTATTTGCCTGAGCCTTCCTCCTGAAGGAATGGGCCAAGGGACAGTTCCGTCTCTTTCCAGGCAGGTCAAGTTTAAAGACATGTGTCAGGAGTGTTGGTTTTACGGCAGGATTTAAGATGTCCTTGTTTATCCAAAAGGCCTGCTGCCAGGTCTTGTGGTAAATGACACTGTAGCCATGATTACTGTGGGGGTGACTTTTAGCAATATTTATGCAAACTATTTCTGGAAGGGCAGCAGTGAAAGTATTAGACAAATGTTCTTTAAATCAGGGATAAACAGAGCTCTGAGCCAGCTACCTCTGCAACTGCAGTGGCAACCCCACCACTAAGAAAATTGCTGGTATTTCTTAGTGCTGGGCTTTGATGCTCGCCTTGGACAGACCACAAGCTTGAGGGCAAGGCAGACAAAAAACAGAAGCCTACCTGATGGTTGAGCACAAGGCAGAGGTCCCTGCTTCATGTCCAGAGAGGGAAATATGAAAGGATGTGCTCCCCATCCCACTCTCTTCCATAAATGTCAGCCTCCCAGTACTTGCTCCACAGGCAGGATAGCAGTGCAGGCAAAAAATGGCTGGACTTAGGTTGTTCCTCTCTGCCTGTTATCTCCCAAGGTCACATTATCTTCCTCTACTTCCAGAGGAGTTAGTATTGGAAAGACTCCAGAGGTCATTTACACTTCTCATAGCTGTCAGACCAGGTCTTTACGTGTACTTGCATCACTCACTGATGGTTTTATCTGTAATTTACGTCATGTTATGAAAAAAGAAGAAGGAAGCAGGTGGCATGACATGACTCTGTGAGCTGAGGCTCATGCCTCAGTCTCACTTTGACTGTGAAAGCAATTTGCACTTAAACTCAGATCTTGTGGAGCTCAGCTTTTCAAACAGTGAGTTCTGGGCCGACAAGGCAAGGTGAGGGACAAGTGGTATATCTGGGGATGAGGATGCAGTCAGTAAAACTCGTCCTTTGGTTCTGCTAACGAGCTCATACTCACTACATGACTGAGGCACTGAATCCTCTGCTAACTCAGGACTGACTTCACCGGTCTTCTCAGTCCTGCCTTTCATCTTTTTTTGGTTTTCCTACATGTGTGCAGGCACATATTAATGCTACAGTCTGCAACTGCACTCTGCCCTGTGAAGTGCCAATGATAACTTATAGTTCAGCCTAAACCTCAGTGAAGGTAGTTTGAGTTCTTTTTTTTTTTTTAACCCCATCTTCCACCTTCATCTTCACACTGTCCCCCTTGTCCTCTGTCAGTCACTCATTGGAACCAAATCATCTGTCATTCTCCTGGAACTTGTTAGTGAAAACCCAGCTGCACAGGAAGAGTGGAGGGATTACCAGGAGGTTTAAATTCTAGACTACAGGAACGACCATACATACCTGCTTTGCTGAAGCCAGTTAGGATGGTGTGTGTCAATGTATTTACATGTGTTTGTCGTTACCAGCTCAGGTAAATCCTCCTTCTACTTTTTTTTATTATCTTGTCTCAACATTTAAAATTCAGACTTTTTTACCTTTCAAAACTGAGAGTCTTTCTTTTTCTGGGTATTTTTCTTTTCATTGCTGGCTGACACCTGAAAAACTCAGATATCAAAAAGGAAGACACTTTGGGATTCAGAGTACTTTTTAAAAGACACAACTCAGAACAAACCCAGCCTCCACTAACTTACATGGAAGTTTATGTTTCTCACTAACTGCTAGATCAAGCCAGTATTCTTTGCATTTAAAAATGAAATTTTCTTCCCTTTTTCTGAATGATTTCTCCTTCTGCTGAGAGTATTTCCTAAGGTTGCTAAGGAGGGGAGAAGCATTAGTAACACTCTGAGACAAGAGATAATGCTTGACGTGACCAGAGCACCACTGAACAGGAAGACGTATTGCTGGAATGTTGTATTTGCAGTGATGCACTTGCCCTAAAGGCCATCAGAAGTGAGTCTTCAAGGGAAGGGCACCTGCAGGCTCCAGCTTTTATGAGTGGCACTCTAGGAAGAGGTAGGATCCCATTACAGCTGTGAGGAAGTTCATGGTGCTGATGATTTAGCCAGTCATGCCCAAATGGGAACCTTCTGTTGAAATCAGGGGCATGGCATTGCAGGGAAAAGTTAATTCATTGTCAGAAGTTCCTTTGACAGTTGTTGAAGACTAATCAGTGTAGAAAGCTGGGTAATAAGAAGCCATCGGGAGGCAATTAGCAAAAACTAACGTATCTGTTCTCTGTCTTTCAGATCGAAATGCTAGAACACAAATACGGCGGCCACCTGGTGTCTCGCAGGGCAGCTTGTACCATCCAGACCGCCTTCCGGCAGTACCAGCTCAGCAAGAACTTTGAGAAGATCCGCAACTCCCTGCTGGAGAGCCGCATGCCACGCCGCATCTCCCTGAGGAAAGTCCGCATCCAGAACTCGGAGAGCTTCTCCGCGGAGAAAGCCCTGGTGGAGGGGTACAACTTCGTGGGCATCCCACTGGTGAGGTCCCCGTCCTTGCCAGCCACTATCAGTGGGGCACTAACTGAGCTGGAGGACTCCTTCACAGAACAAGTTCAGTCCCTGGCAAAATCCATCGATGATGCCCTCAGCACCTGGAGCCTGAAGACCATGTGCTCCCTGCAAGATGGGGGCTCGTACCAGATCAGGGAGACCTTCAGCGCTAGCTCCATGCAGCCAAATCAAGACTTAGAGGCTGAGCTACAGGATCAGGAGAAGGAGGAAGGTCTCCTGCCAGATACTCTACCCAAGAGCAGCAGCACTCTCATGATGGCTTTTCGAGATGTCACAGTTCAGATCGACAACAAGAACATCTCTGTCTCATCATCTACCTCGGTGTCCATGGCAAACTGTCTCAGCAGCAACGACCAGGCTGGGCTCTCTCCAGCTACCAAGGCTGAAGAAAGCCCAGGAGAAGGGGAGGGAGAAGCCAGTGAACTACTGTCTGCCCCAGAGAGCTTACCTGAGAACAGCCTCACTTCCACTGAGGTGGATGTCAGCACTAATGGCACAGGGGATAGCAGTGCTGAGCCAGATCAGATGGCAGTGCAGAAACTCCAGTTTGATGCAAACAATGAGGCAGGACAAAGCAAAGGCTTGGAGTCTGAGAATGCAGACAACTCAGAGCAGCTGAGCAGCAGCAGCACCTCCACCTCAGCCAAGTCAGCCTCTGAGGTGTCCTCAAAAGAAGCCCTGCAGGCCATGATCCTCAGTCTGCCGAGGTACCACTGCGAGAACCCAGCCAGCTGCAAGTCCCCCACACTTTCCACAGACACCATGAGGAAACGCCTTTACCGCATAGGACTGAACCTCTTTAATATGTAAGTGACTCTTCCTCTATTTCCCAGCCAGTGTAATGCCTCACATAGGAACAGATGATGGCAGGCTCTTGGTCTAGATCCATCTCCAGGGAAGTTCGTTCGTGTTCAAGGGCATGACCATCTGGGTATGCAGTGCACAACACAGGTTGGCTTCCCAGAAGCTCTTTCCCTAAATTCTCCCAAGTACTCTCCTTCTCTTCTGCCTAACAGAGGAACAAGCCCATGAGTAGTGCTCATGCTGTCACAATTCACTGAACCTTCAGTTCCAGTTGCTGTCCATTTGGCATCCACCAGCTGAGTCTGGGATCACTCTGCTCCACTCTGTTGCAAAGGAACAAACATAGCTAGGACTGTTAACCCAGCCCTGGTTACTTAACATGGGGCAATTCCAAGTGAAGAGAGAGGGAGACAGAGGTAGAGCTGAGCTTAGCTAGCCCAGTATGAGTCATAATGGCAAAATTACATCTCTGGCTGTAATTTTCCTTCAGATACTTGGGTAGACTTTCACCTGACAGACCAGGTTTAGTCACCTGTCTCTCACATACCTGTGTTTGATATCCTGTGAGAAGGCTGTAGATGTGAAAGCAAAAGCAGAGCAGAGGTTACCATCAGAAGAGGTTAAGTCACAGGGTCACATGTGGATAGGCAGAAAGGAGCTGAGCTCCCTTAAGATTCAGATTTGCTCATTGCCTTTTGATGAGACTTTTCTCATCTAAGCAAGCCACGGGAAGTACTGGGTTTTTTTTATCATCACACTCTCATATCTCTGTCTTTGTTTCCATTTGAGTCCCCTAATAATAAGGATGTAATGTACCCATAGTAGGAGTATGTTTTTCCACACGTTAGCGTGGGCATTTTAGTCAAAGCAAGGCCTGATCATTATGCAGTCCCAGGCAGAAGTTTTTCACAGACAAAGGGGCAATGCACAGGATTTATAAATGTGTACCATGGAGGCTGTGGACTCCAGGAGGCAGGGACCAGGAAGAGAGGTTTTTAGGGTTGGTCTCAGAGCACACCCAGAAGTGAAGTGATGTTAGATCAGACAGATTTGGGATTCTTACAGAATTGAGAGGGACAGATTTCCAGTTCTGAGTACAGGTTGGAGGACAGGAGTGAGGAAAATAACTTGTTAGCTCTGGGGAATGATATCTTTCTTCAATCTCTGAGCAGTATCCAGGGGACATGTGGCTCCCCTTGTGACTTCTTATCCAAGGGGCTGAGAGGGCCATTAAGCTTTCTGAGGTTATTTGGTTGTTGCTTTCCCTGTCTATTTCCAGGAAGAAGCCAGTTTACTGTTGTGGGGTTTGGGATGTGGGCACTGATCCGTAGGCCGTGGAGCTGAGGCTCTGTGTGTGTGCACATCCTTTTTCCTGGCTTTCCCTGGAGCAGGAGCTGAAAGCCTGCAGTTTCTAGTGGAAACTGCCACAGCCTCTCTGGCCTTGCCTTGCATTTTTGGAAGGTAGTGCTGTAGCTTGGAGCAGGCCTCTGGAAACACATCGATGCAGTGGCACTTTCCTCATCCCTTCTGCACCGTGAGGGGGTGAAATCCCCAGAATGGTGAGTGCTTCATTATGCAGTGCTGCTGTAACAGCTCGGTGTGTGTGGGCAGCTGGCTGCGTGGGCAGAGGGAAAGACAGCAGGACGTGAGGAATCCCGCAGCATTTGCTGGCTCTGCTTGCAGCCCTGCAACACCAAAAATGAATAGCAGGGTCCAGGCTCAGGAGAGAGAGGAGTAGAGTAGCCTGCTGCACCTCTGGGTAAAAGCTGCATGCTGCACTACATGGGATACATCTGCAGGTGTTCAGTGGCAGAGATGCTGTATTGCTATCAGGTTTTTGTGAAGAACAAATTGAATCCTGGGAAAAACTGAGGGAAGACTGCTGTTAGTGAAAGAATTTTTGAGTTATAGTCTAGGCAGTGCAGGAGGGCTGTCACAGGGGTACTGTTTTATCCTGCATCCTTTGATGGCATTGTGTGTACCATCTCTACTGAGACCTGCACATCCATGCTAGTGTGTGTATTTTTTCTGGACATATTAAACTCTCAGCTCCTCTGGAGTGGATCCAAATCAGTCCAGTGACTTTGGAGTCACACAGGTGTAACTGAGTTCATCCTTGTGTTGTGAACACCATACCATGCCTTGCCAAATAACAAAGTGTGCAGGTGGATATGCATTTTATGAATCTCTGGTGCTTAGTTTGACTTATGTCCCAATCATATCACCTTTGCACTTAGCAGGGAACTTTACCTGTACTCCACAGCAGTGAGCCAGTAGGTCTGTATGATGATAAAGAAGGTGCATTGCTGCTGTTCCCTGAAGAAGGCCTGGGGTTTTCAGTATCACATCTTGCACCTCTCCTATTTATAAACTTAATGGGTTGATTGTTCTTGCAACCCTCTTCCCAGCAGTGCCCAGGATATTTTCTTTTGACATTACAGAGTAATCAGAACTATTTGAAGCCCATCTACTTTCTCCATGTCCGTGAGGCCCCTGTAAGGAGCAGGCCATTCTGCTGCATGCAGCTCCCCTTATAGCTAGACATATGCTGCTCACCCACATACTTCACCACCTGACAATGTCACAGTCTGTTCCTGTGCATATCATGCATTCACGTGCTCTGAAATCTCATCCTATTCTTTCCTTACCCCAGGAAACTGCCTGAGCAAACTCACCCATTGAGTCTTGACAAAGAACCCTCAATTTGGATTAATGATGGAAGTATGACATCATTTAAAGAAGTCACCCTCTTACCTCTCTCCACTCACCAGCTCAGAGAACCAAAGAAATGTGGCAATCTTCCTGCCATTGCAGTGATTCATCTCAGCACAGTGCATCATGACAGAGACCCTTCAGTGGGGCAGACTGAAATATGGGAGGAAAACTTCCTGCACAATACACACGTACTGTTTGTTCTTGTCTGCGTTGTGAGACAGGCACCACATAGCCTCACAGACACTCCCAGGATACACAAGGGCTTATAAACTAGGACAGAAAGATGGGGACAGATGTTTTATCAGGGCCTCTGGCAATAGAACCAGGGGTAATGCTGTAAAACTGAAGGAGGTTATAAGTAAGGAAGAAGATTTTTACAATGAAGGTGGTGAAACACTGGCACAGGTTGCCCAGAGAGGTGGTGGTTGCCTCATCTCTGGAGATATACAATATCAGGTTGGTGGGTTCTCTGAGCAACCTTCTCTAGTTGAAAATGTCCCCACTCACTGCAGGAGGGTTGGAGTAGATGGCCTTTAAAGGTCACTCCCAACCCAAACCACTTTGCTTCTGTAGGAGCTGTGTGTGCAGGCACAGACACTGGCACATTAAGAAGCAGAAAATCACTCCCACAGCCAGGCAATCAGGCCCACTCAGCACCAGACCTGCTCTCAGAGAGATGCTCACAGCCACAGAGGGAGAAAAGCCCTCTGTCTGGGAGCTGCACACTGCTCCCTCCCTTCTTCTGACAAAGCATTCTCTGGGTGCCTTCTCTCACACAGAAAGATTTCTGCCTGAGGGCGTGAATCAATAGAGAAGGGAAGAAAAACACAGCTAAGGGTGGGGGAAGTGGAGGAGGAATAAACAAATCTGAGTATGGGATTTCTGTTCAGACAGCCAACATCAAGCTCAGGTGAGGAAGATAAAAAAGTATCACTCTACAATGAACGTTGAAAATCTATGAAAAGCAAAATTATTTGTTTAACATAAAAAGTGTCCACTTTGGTTATCCCCCTTGGAGCCTTGAGCCTCGTTTGCCCATAGACCATGGCAGCAATGTCTCCTAAGTTTCTTCACAGAGGAAAGGGCCTCTGACTCTGGAGCAGATGGATGGCAGAAGAGTCACTTATGAGGTGTGGTACAATGCAGTAGGATTCGTTGTGGCAGTGGGATGCCACTTGTGATTACCAGGTGACAGCAGGTGCTGCAAGTGACACAGCAGGTCCTATGACATCTTTTTGTCCTCAGCAGCAGCTAGGGGGGCACACAGCAAGTCACTTTTCCTCACCCCAACCAGTCCCGTTCCTGACACACACGTGAACGCAGAGGAGCCCAGGCACATACCAAGGGCTGCATTGGTGCAAGCCATGGGGTGAGCCAGAGGCAACAATGCCTCCAAGAGCTCATGCAAACTCACCATGTCTCTGTCCTTCCCTTCCAGAAACCCAGACAAAGGCATCCAGTTCCTGATCTCCCGAGGCTTCATCCCAGACACCCCCATTGGGGTGGCACACTTTCTGCTGCAGCGGAAGGGCCTCAGCCGACAGATGATTGGGGAATTCCTGGGCAACAGCAAGAAGCAGTTCAACAGGGATGTTCTGGAGTAAGTGTGAAAATCTCTTCCCCTCCTCCCTTCACTCTGAAGGCATTGCCAGCCCACTCTGCCCCTGGCTGCACCAGCAAGCTCTCCATGCCCCTTTGCCCCCAATCTTCAGCAACTCCACCATTGCCTGTCCCTATCTGGTGTCCCTCAACACATTTCCCAGCTATGTGTGTCACCCTTCATATCATCAGTTCTTTCATTTCAGTCCTTCCTCAGGAGGCCTGCGGTCACCTAGCAGGAGCTCAGCACTGTCAGGTTGTAGAACAAGTGATGCTGGCAGGTTTGGGGGCTGGGGAACTCTTTGGTTGAAGTCTATCCCATCCATACAAAGTACTTCTGATGCCTTCTGGGAAGTATTAAGAGAGGCAGAGGAGGAAAAATATCTGCTTCTTGCTGTGAGACCAGCAGGGAGAAGTGAATGCTGGCTACATACTCAGATATCTTTCTGTTCAGGTTGGAAACTGGGGACCCTTTGAGTTTGTCCAACTGCATTATGAGGATAATTACAAGGTCCTGTTTGTGGTGATGAGGAGGCCTGTGTATGAAAACATGCTTCTAAGGGCTCGGCATTGCCACAGCAGCCACGGAGCACCGAGGAACATCCCCGCTCCAAAATCTCCAACAAGCTGTCCCTTTTCAGAACAAAATCTGAGGTTTCCTTCTTGCTTCTGATCAGTGGCTGCCTTTGCTGGATTGTTACCTTCAATTCTCTCACCGTGACCCTCTCCTGGTCACAAGCCATGCATCTCTCAGCCTGCACCTCTCTCCTCTTTCAAGTGTAGTTCATTCAGAGACCCATTTCAAGGCATGAACAGCATTCAGCTGCATCTTTTATTATGCAGAAGCACAACTCTTAGTGAGAGCTGCCTTTCCATTATGCAGGAAGTCCTTTGCACTGGGTCCTTTATTACATTCTCCCATTCTCCAAAATGTTCTCTATTTCCCTTGAATTTTGCAGTGGTTTCTCTTGAATCAAACCATAAAGAAACTCCAAATCCCATCCACATACCACTTCTACTCCAAAGAAAGATTGGAGAATGCCAAAGTTCAAGAGCCAAATCTAGGCCTAAATTTTAAAATTAATTCCAGCTGCAATTGCTGCTTCTTATTGCTGCAGGTACCTACCTGACCTTTGGGCCATCTCTTTTTTTAATACACTGTAGAAGTATCGATTTGTTCAGCAACAAGACACATGTGCTGTCCAGTCTCTTCATGCTGAGAACTACAATTAAAAGTAATTGCCTCTTTTTCTCCAGTAAGCATTGTGTGGGCTGCTTCCCCTCACAGATAATCTGCTCAAGTCCAAACCTAGCCTCTGCACTCACAGATATTGCAACAACAATAGGCTGACACTTCCCTGTAATCATAAATGTGGCATCATCCCTGCAAATGACCATGTTCCTCTGCCTCACATGGGACTACAAACTCAGTGTCAGCAGCTCCTGGGAACAGTGCCTATTGCAAAGCCTGGTGTCAGCCTCCCAGCCTCAGTGCCCAGGAGCTGCTACATGGGGCTTGCCTCTCCTCTTTCTGCATGAGGCATGGGGCCATTGGGGCAGGTGGCCCTACTCCATCATGCTCATTACTCGAAATTACCACTGCCCCTCTCATGGTAACACTCCAAATATTCAGTGAAGGAGTGACCTTGCCCATCCTATTAACATCTGTAGAAAACAAGGCCCAAAGATGGGGACCAAGATATTGAGGCTGTGTGTCCATGGATTACATGTGGGGCAGGGACTGTGTGTACTTGAGCATGTATCAAACTGGGTCTGAGTTCAGGGTTCAAACCTGTGTCAGATTTTGCCAGGCAACAGATGATATGCTTGCACTGACAATCTGTGCTGCCATCCTCTCTTCACAATAAATGCCTGATTTGTCTTCCATAAAGGCAAAGACAAAAGTAGACTTAAAATGTATGTAGAATATTTTAAAACAGGAAGGAAAAAACATGCACATTCAGCTGGTTAGAGCTGTGCCATTTGAAGGTACTTTCTTCCTGTGCCAGTTCTGAGCTTGGGGGTATGCTTGAGCATAGTTGGTGGGTTTTGCAAGCAAATTTTTCATCAGCCACTCATGAGAGCTAGATGGGCAACGGCTGCACACCCAGCAGCATGCCATGCATGGAAATAAGGCATTGAAAGGAGAAATCATGGCCCAGAATTATAATCCTGGATATTTTTCCTGTCCATGCTGCAGGAAGAAGAGGGCTGGCAGTGTAGTATAGTGTGCTGGCATTCCCAATGCACTGTATCTCAAGGGCTGGTCACAACTTAGGAGCTGTTTCTATGGGAGCAAGAGGCAGATCAAAGACCTTTTGGCATTTTGGAACTGTCTAAGACCTTGTCTTGTTCTCATTCCCCATCCAACTCCCATCAAACTAGCTCAGGAACACTGACACATGTTGGGAGAATGGACTGTGCAAGGGCTGCCTTGCTGTCCCCACATTCACCCACACTTAGTAATGTTAAGGTACATGGTATTCCCTGGAGAGCACGCAGCAGACAGGAGAGCTCATACAGCAGCTTTTGCACAATTTGCCCAATACCACAGTCATTTTTGTGGCCCAAATGGGCAGAAGAAGAACAGGCACTTAGTTCTGCTGACGTCAAATGCCCAGGCAGGTGGCCACGAGCAGGCAGTAGTGCTTGGACAGGCTCTGATCACCTGCAGTGAGGAAGCCTGTATGCAGGCAGAGATGTCTGTGCTCTTTCACATCCCAAACCTGACCCTGGAGCCTACTCTACCTCCCAGAAACAATTTCAATTATTGATGCTACTTGCTGTGTTAGTTTAGCTTTTGCTTGATGTGAAAACTTATGTTGCAATTGTGTATTGTGAGCAATGTTTCTATTGCATCCAGGTTGAATTAACTCAGCTGCATGAATAAATAATAGCACAGCTTTTAAAACATCTGCAAAAGTGTCAGCCTCCCTTGTGCATTTGGAGGCAGGGCAGAGCTGCCCAGGTTACAAACTCCAGACTCAGCTGTAATGTCCAGATATAAGTCTGTACTCTGCAGAGCTCTCTTGGCTTCTGCAGACCTTGAAGCTGTGCTGGCTGACAGAGAAACCTGTTGCTGCTGTCAAACAGCAGAGCTCAGGAGTGCAGAGCGGCATTTGGCTCTGTGAAGATGATCCCACTTTACTGCCACCAGTAAATGTAAAACTCCAGAGAATTGCTATGCTGGTTGCAAAGCCTTTTATGAAAAAGGGCAGGGATTTAGGTGAGGTAAGCAGTTTATGAAGATTGAGCTCTTTGGTGTGCTATTTTTCCTTCCCACACCTTCATGCCCAGCACCTAAATGCCCTGAAATTGTAATCTCCCCTCCATCTTCCTGCTCTTATCTTTCAACATTTAACTGATTTTCTTGGAACTCAGAAGAGGTGTCTGGATAATTCACAAGTAATTCTACATGCTAGCCAGAGGAACAACAGAGAGAACAGGAGATTTTCAACAGTTTCTGACTATAATTGGCACACACGCATTGATGACACTGAACCACTCAGGTCTGTCTCTTTAGGAAGATGCAGTATGTAATTTTCTTGTATAGAAAAGACTTCAGTCTTTAAAACTAGGATTTATCTCACTTGTTGTTGGCCACCACCAAGTTTAGTGCCTTCTAGAAATTTATGCATTCCTTTTGTCAATGGAGAGACACGGGGCCCTCAAGAGTGCTGTTTTTCTTAGCCTGCTAGTTTAGTCTGGATGTGCAGCTTTTAGGCATTTTGTGTTGCAGGGCATAAAACCCACTTGTAACCTATTTTAAGCATCTCACAAAATAACCATTCACTGTGATCAGCATCCAGAAGAATCTAAGAAGATCCAGTAAGATCCAAGAATCTCCTTCTACAGGCTGTCCTGCAGCCAGCAAGAGGGAGTCACTGGAGACCTGCCCCAGGGTTTCAGTGTCTACCAGTCCTGGAATACAGCTGGAGAGAGGTAGCCTGACCCACTAAAGGACCTATGTGGTACTGAGCTTAAATCAAATCTATTTGTCAAATACTGCAGAAAAATAATTCTGTTGCTTTGAAAAAGTCAGGCCCGAGGCATTAGCACATGGTTTTAATATAAGCCATGTCATCATTCTTGCATCCTTTCTTCATTCTGTGTTTATTTGCTTTTGTTCTCCTTTCTTCGTACTTTCCTTCACTTGAGTCCATTCTTCCCCTCCACCTGTTCCTGACTCAGGAATTACTTCCATTCATAGTTCATTCATGAACAAGATGATGTGAGTGATTTCATGAATGTAGTCAGCTGTGCTGGTACTGGATGGTTTGTGTTCAGCTTGTGGGATTTGGAAGTGCAGATGTGGCTGTCCTGGTGCACTTGCTGTCAGAGGAGAAATGGGCAGAGATTCCAGCAGAGGAGGCATTGTGCTGAGTTGGGGTCTGCTTGTGTTAAGAGTGGAAGTTGCTGTTGGAGACATTCTCCCCAGGGTTGAGCAGGTCTCCTGCCTGTCAGGCCTGTGTTGTCTTCTCTCTCTGTTGGGGGAAGTGGGAGAGAAAAGCTGCTCTCAGGACGTGCAGAGCTGGGAGCTCAGCAAAGGGGACTGCCTCTCAGAGAAGAATTAGGTTCCTCTTGAACAGACAGAATGGACTTGTCAGGTTAGCCCAAACTAGCCTTCTTTTCCCTTCTTACTGAGGATGCTACGGAGGGTCAGTAGGAGACTTTCATCACAGGAGGGTTTGAGCAGGAGCAATAGATAAGGATGTGATGGAAACAGGACAGAGGGAAGAATGTGTTAGGCAGTTCTGACCTCCAGCTGCAAGCAGGACTGTAGCACACACCAAATGTGAGAGCAGCCCTCCCATGCCTATACAGGCTGAATGTGCAGCTTGAGTCTGCCTAGTCCCCAGGGAAACTCAGGAAGGAGTAGATTCCCAAGTAAGTAGCCATGTGAGCTACCAACAACCATGGGAGGGTGAGTAGGCATGACAGCCCAGGAGGAAAACAGGCAATACACCAATCCTGCAGTATTCTCCAGAAAGGGAAAACTAGTGTGGGCCATGGTCTGCATTGTAGAGATTGTCCTTCCCAATAGGGTGAGGAGGGCAGGATTGGGACACACACCTGTGTCCACTGGTGCATGGAACTGGGGAGTCCTGCTGGCTTTTCTTTCTGTTCAGTTCACACATGCAGGGCAGTCTCTTTCCAGGGAGCTGAGCTCTTCTACAATTCACCCAAATCCTGATTCACCTTCAGAAAGCTTGTAGAATTAGGGAGGCTGGGAAAAGGGATTGTTTTTATGAATATCTTTGTGCCTTGTGATTTTAAACTTTCCACCTGGCTGCCTTCCCCCTTGCTCCCTCCCTGAGTGGAGGCTGCAGGTTCATTACAGATGCTTTTAGCTGCATCCCAGCCCCTGCTGCATTGTCACCTGAGTGGAAAAGCTGGAAAATAGGTCATTACACTTGGGTGAGCAGATCCCAGCCCCACATGATACAGCTGCTTCCTGTCTTCACTGAACCCTTTTGCCACAGGCTCTTTTGCCGTGCTTAGCCCTGTGCTAAAACCTCACAGCTCTTCTGCCATTACATCCACCCACTTTGAGGGGGACCTTTCCCTGTAGCCTACGAGGCTACAACAGAGACAACAGCTAAGCATAATAATCCATCTAGGAGCCCACTCTTTGGTCCTGGAACCTGGTGTGGAATTCTCTGCTCGTTGTTGTGAGGTGCCTCAGGGCAGATCAAACTCCTTATGTACACAGGTGGCCCAAGAGTCCTCAATCCCCACCCCCTTGTTCATGAGGCAGGGAGCCAGCACTTTTCCTGCCCACTTCAACCGCAGGATCCAAATATCCAAAGTCATATCCTCGCAGACAGTGGGCGAAATGAATCTCTGGATGCACTGTGAGTTCAATTTGTGTGGCTTGTTGCAAGTTCCTGGGCAGGAAGGAGTTGAAACATGAGATTTTATGAGGTGATTACTGTGTCCCTGTATCATCATCTCTCAAGCCTCCTGGCAGTCCTGGAATAGGCATCTCACAGGTGTCCAGGTGTTTGTGGGAAAATGAACTCAGCACTGGTTTTGGCATGTGCACATAAGTTTTTGGTTGATTCCTTGGATGCAGAGAGCCACCCACTCCCATATCCTTTGTCAGCTTCCACGGTCTCTAGCTTGGAAAGAAAAGACCTCCTTGGTCTGGTTTCACGAAGAAAAGTTGTGCTGCACTTCAGGGGATGTCTGACACAGTTACCAGAGTGCATTTGGAAAGTTAATGCAAGTCTGTGCAGGAATCTGAAGTCAGAGAAGGCTGCAAAACTTTCAGCTGTCTAGAAGAGGAGGAGGAACATGGCAGACCCATAGCACAAGGCTGTTTGGCTCTTTGAATGGATTTTTCTGTGTCAAATTTGCACACAAAAGTACAGACAAGTCTGATCCATCTTTCTTTCTGCCTGTCTAACAGCAGAAATAGCAGCTTGGTACCTGATGTCTCCTGTAGGAGCTGTTCTTCAGACCTTTGGCACAGGATTTGTCAGATAAATCAAATCCAAGCACAGGCTGACTTTGCTTGAATCAAATATTCTTCCTAACCTGTCCTTTCTGCCTGGTCAACTTTTCTCAGTAAACAGGACAGGGGACACTCTTCTTTGAGCTGAGAGACAAATGGAAGAGACTCCCAGGAGTTAGAATTTACAAAGTAAACCTGCATCAGTCAGTCTGTGAGAGAAACCCCCCTAGGAGAATCCAAGCATAACTCAAGTAGCAATGCCTGTTTGAGTTTGAAAAGAGCTGTGAACAGCTGCCTTGTCCTACTTGTCCGAAAGAAGGCTCCGTGCTTTCTGTATGAAGGGCATTGACTTTATTACTTGAGATTTGTACACAAAGGGGAGGATGTTTTAGGGCAGCCTGTGTGGAGGGGGAAAGACTGATCAAAGAGGGAAGGAGTAAGCAAAAGACAGATGATTTAATGCTGGTGGACTGGGGCTACTAGGGTGACCTTAGTGGGTGTCCCTGGGGCATGCAAGCACTCAGTGTTCACATGTCTGGAAGCAGACAATAGCAGCAAAATCACCAGGGTCAGTGCTGAGAAACACTTGCACACTGGAAAGGATTAAAAAATAATAACAAAAGCCCAAGTGCAGAGGTGGTTGCAGCTGTGAACACAATAACGACTAACAAGAGGAAAACTGTTTTTACTCTCAATGATAAATTCCAAGAAGCAGAATGCCTTGATGTTAACCCCAGGGACTGACTATAAGTATGAGAAAAATAAAAATAAAAAAGGAAAGATGCAGTGAAGGAATTTTTTCTTATTGCCAAGTGATTCTACAGTCCACCTCTTGGAGAGATAAAAAAATATTTCATAGAAGATTTCCTATGAGAGCAGTCCCTTTGATTCTCTTCCCTTGCTCTCTATCTGTTTCTGAATTTCGATTATATGGACTTTGTGCAGAGAAAGAGCCCACAATTCCTAGCTGAGGTTGTAACAAGTCCAACTTCAGAAGATACAAAGCACTTTATGTTCAGTCAAAGCTCTTGGTAAGTTATTCTGTGGGTGTCACCCCAGTTAAATGATGATAATTCCTGAATCAATAAGGCAATGGAGGAATGCAGAGACTTTTCTGAGTTCAAATCTCTGTCTCTTACCCATTTGAGGAATTGTGCAACAGATTTTTATTCCAGCAAGGCTGCACATGGCACTCAGCAGCTTAGCTGACAAACCACTTTCCAACAACCCACAGCAAACTGCAGCACTCAGACCAGCAGACACACTCCCAGTTTACCTCAGAAAGGAAGAAACTGGTAACAGCATACCCCTTTATTAGCAGAGGTTTCTTTGACAAAATTTCCAGATAATCCTAGGAAGCAGAAGGATCCAGAAGAGAGCTAATCCCCTCCCCCTCTTTTTTTCCCTATACCACTCCTCATAAAGTCCCAGACAACCTGTCTTGGGGGAAATTTCCTCCTTAATAACCTTAAATGTGGGATCAGTTTATCCTTTACCACATGGCATATCCTTTACCCCAAACACAATACAAAGAATTAAATAAAGGGGTTAAGGGACTAATAGAAGTAGCATCCAAAGTAAAAAGCAGCAGAAAATATGAAGTTCTTGAATTTTTAATGCGCTTCTATTGTCAAGGTGGTCCCATTAACAAATTAGTAACTTTGTATTTAATGAAGGTTTAAAGAAAATGGGATTTTGGCACCTGTGATTTTCTTCGTCTGTCAGACAGAATTTCAGTTTTGAAAATTTATTTTTGGCAAAGAATAATGACAAGCAGGAAGGTAAGTTGTGCATACCAAAGTCAGTGGAAAATAGAGTAACTCAATGTCTGTTTTGTTAGAATAACTAGTTTGCTAGACAGGGGACATGCAGAACATAAATCTAGACTTCAGCAAAGCTTTGGGCATGAGGAATTTTTTGTTGAGAGTGGAAGAGAGAGAAATTAGCAGAGGAATCATAAACAGGGGAGAAATTGGCTGATACAGACATTAGTGCCTACATACTCTGCTGAAATGGGAAGTTGGGCCTGAGGGACATTATGAACAGGGGTTTCTTTTGATTAATGCTTGCAGTAATGACCTGAGCACAAAAGGTAGGAATATGCTAACAGAATGTGCTGAAGCCACATGAGAAAGGTGTTGTCATTACAAGTGACTGAAATATCATGCAGTAAGAATAAGAACAAGTAGATTATTTGACTAATACAGAGAGCAAGTACTGTAGTGGTAGGTTTTGCAAACTAACAGCAGGGCCTTTATAAAATGAGAATGCTTTTGTGGGAAATAAGAGAGGTCATCCCCTTCTTGGGGTATCTAAACTGACCATGAATTTTCAGTGGGCGGTGAATCATGCCAAAATGCAAAGTGACACCAGATGAGCAGGTAATTTTCAATGTTATTTCTGTACAACAGCTTCCATTTCCTATTTTCTCTGAGCTGATTCTGGTCTTATTGATATTGATACAGGTGTCTAAATATCTATGTCAATATAAAGGTCCATATATCTATATAGATACAGGTAAGTATCAATACATATATATATATATATATATGCACACATACTTTCTCTGTATATGCATATGTGAATGTATATGCTGTCTATGGTGTGATAGGTATATATGATGGTGTATACATACACACACATATATATAAATATATAGTAAAGCACAAGAATTTCTCACCAGCTGTAGAATGCAGGAATCACTTGAGTGAGATCACTTCCCGTGGTAAGATCCAGGAAGCCATAGCCATGTCTCAAGGCCCCTCCCATGGGATTTCCCTTGGGGACTGGGCCTCAATGCCACGGTGGAGGAGCCTGCTTGGTGTCATCCATGGGAGGATGTTCTGATGAAGGCTATGTCCCCCTCTCACAGCTGTGTGGTGGATGAGATGGACTTCTCAGGCATGGAGCTGGACGAAGCCCTGCGGAAATTCCAGGCCCACATCCGTGTGCAGGGGGAGGCACAGAAGGTGGAGCGGCTCATCGAGGCTTTCAGGTAAGAGCAGGAGGCCTGCAGCCCCACTGCTGCAACCAGGGGAAGCAGGGAACTCAGCACACCCAAGGCAAAAAACCAGCAGGCATGGAGAGAATGTCCACAGACTTCCCTTCCAAAGAGGGGATCATGGAGGGGCTCCTGAAGGATGGAGTTCTCTGCCACTGCTGTGTCACAGCTGTGGCCTTGTCCGAGGTTCAGTGGCATGAAGGGCAGTGAGGCCAGTCCTGCTATGGCTTCCAGCAAGGGATTCCCTGTTCATTGGTGGCTCATAGGAAGAGAAGCAGAGGGGCTTGCAGGGCTGCTCAGTTCTCCCTTGGTGCATCCAGAGGAGTGCTTAGCAAGGCAGGCTGGAGCAGACACCTCCTGTATTACACTTGTGTGCTGACACACTCTGAGTAGTCCACTCCAGCCTCACTTGCTTTTTTGGTTCCTGAGGACAAGAAGGCTGAAGTTTCAGTGGCCTACTTCAGCCATTGGTGGGGAAATTTGCCTTCAGAGAGCAGTGGGTTCCTTCTCTCATGTGTGAGAGGTGGAGTGCAAGGAATGTGATCTGCTTGTGGTAAAGGCATTCCCAAGCTGGAGCAGAGGGCTCCCATGTTCCATGCTAAGTGTGTGCATCCCTCCTGCTGCAGCCAGAGGTACTGCATGTGTAACCCAGATGTGGTCCAGCAGTTTCACAACCCGGACACCATCTTCATCTTGGCCTTTGCAATCATCCTCCTCAACACAGACATGTACAGCCCCAACATCAAGCCTGACAGGAAGATGATGCTGGAGGACTTCATTCGCAATCTGAGAGGTGAGGGTTCTGCCTTGATTTTTCTTTTTTGCCCTCTTGCTTTTCTAAATTATGCCTAGATGAAGGCAGGAAAAGCCTAGTGGAACTGCCTTTCTCCAGGTCTTCTGCTGCTTGCCTGTGAGCCAGACAAGGAAGACCCTTTGAGATGCCTTCTAGGGTGCTGGGGAAGTGAAATTCTAATTAACTTTGTTTTCTGCAGAAAGCTGTCCAGCCTTCTCAGAAACCAACCATTTTCCTTTGAGAGATGGCTTCATCTTGTAAGATATCTCATTGCTTGGAAACAGTCCATTGTATTACATTTTCCTATTGTTCAGCTCCATCCTTCTTAGACCCTGTTGGGTTCTGCTAAACAAGCCCTACTTGCTGCATTGAATATATGAACACATTTTCCTTTTATCCAGGCTAAATCTTTCCCTTCTTAATTGCCTGCAATTACTTATAGTAACTGTAGGCGTGACAGAGTTCATGCATACATTATTTCTATGTAATTTCTGATCCATCAGTTCCCCAAATCAATTTTCTTCTATTTTCAAGGTCGGTCCTTTCCATCCTGGTAATATGTTGTTAAAAGCACTTTTTCAGATGTGGTCACAACATACTCATATATGGAGCTACTGCCTTGTTCTTATTTTCAGATCTACTAACTCAGCTCAGTATTGTTTGGCCTTTTTGACATCATGTCTAGACAAATTATTGTCTAATTTCCCAGCCATATTCATTCCTAGGTCATCCTAGGTCAGCCATTTTCCAAGTTTCTCTTACTGCACATCTGCAATTCATATAAAGCTCCCTCAAAGTTCTTCCAGCATGAATTCCTGTCTTTTCTGAAGATTTTGCATTTTTCTGGGTTTCTTTGACTTGTTTCTTTGTCCTGATTGCTGTTCAGCAAGTGTCAGCCTCCCACATCTTCCACAATTTGTCACCTGGTTCAGACTGGTATAATGTGACACTGAGGCCCTCTTTCAAGTTAATTCCACAGATACTGAATGGGTCTGCTACCTGCCATCACCCCCTTTAGTATTACAATTGATAGCACTAACAAAAGAGGGGGGTTATTTTAATGTTAACTTACTATTAGAGTTGCTTTAAAAACTGTCAGTTCACACCACAATGGATTAAATCAGCATGAGGGTCACTCACCTCCAGTGTGCAACACACCACAACTCATTAGAGCAAATGAATGTCACCCCATCACAGACAAGCAGAGACAGTTCAATCCAGACTCACCTGCAATGCAGGCCAATGCCCAGCAGCTTCAGCAGCCTGTGCTGGAAATGTTGTTTGGGATACATTTGCAAGGATGTAGGTAAGGGAGCAGGACATCTCAATGCCTTTCCATTTCTCAGCAGGTCCTCACCTGCATCACTCAGGATAGTACATCTCAGACCAGGGAGCTGGAGGAAGGCAGAGAAAATCAATATAAAATAACTGGAGGAATTCAGTTTGGAAGGACTGGAAACTTGGTTTTCAGTGTTTGACTCAGAGAAGGGTGGAAAAAACCTTTTCTGCCAGGCTCAGAAGGGTCAGGCAGCAAAATCTGGATAATTATCTAAGGAGATATAAAAGAGGAAAGGGGCAGGGTCAAGGCAGAGATACCACAAACAGAATAGCAGGAAAGCATTACTCCTAGGAGACAACACAGAAGGAAAATGGTGGAGGTCACCAAGCAGACAAGGAGAGATGATGCTTGCATTGGCAGCAAGAGCTGCTGAATCCCATCACAGAACTTCCCCACATCTAGCACTTCTGATGATACAAAATCAATGCAGGGGTTACTGCTGAGTGGCCCAAGATAAATGATGTGAAATTGTGGCTATAAAACCTTAGGGAACACATGGAAAGGAGCCACCATGCAGAGCAATGGAATAATGAAATCAACTGCATTGGCCTCAGAGATGTCAGTCTCTCCTGCTGGTGCATTAGATGCGTTAGAGAAACAAAGGAGACAGCCTAAAGTGAAGTATTGCTATTCCCCTTCACTTCCCAGCACTGCTCAGTGCAGAGGCAGTAGTGACCTGCCAGAGACCACTGGTTCTTCCCTTTTCTCTTCTCTCTGGCTGGTCTGCCCAACATTTTCTGTCTTTGGCAGGGGTGGATGACGGTGCTGACATCCCTCGGGAGCTGGTGGTGGGGATCTATGAGAGGATCCAGCAGAAAGAGCTAAAATCTAATGAGGACCATGTAACTTATGTCACCAAAGTGGAGAAGTCCATAGTTGGAATGAAAACGGTGAGCACCCATAATCCTCTGGCACCACCCAGCCCCTCTGTCCCCCACCTCTCTCCCTGCCCTCTTTTCTGTGTTTTTCCTCTATGCCTTTCTTCTCTTATGTAATACTTTCCTTGCTTGTCTCTACAAATGTACTCCTTTTGCTCCAAACTCTTTATTTCCTGCTATCTCATTCTTTCCTAATTTTGAGGGATCTCCTTGGCCAGAGTTTATAGTATCTAGTGCTGTATTGTTTGCCCATGAATTTTACTGCAGGTCCTGGCTGCAGGATAGGTCTGCAGTGTTTCAAACTTTCAGGCCTTTTAAGGGTGTAGGAAGTAAAAGGCAAAGTGATAAAAAACAATTTTATCTGTCTGTCTCTAGTGAATTCCCTAAAAATTGCTGGGGTTAAGAGATCCCCAAAGCACAGACATCTTCTTTGGCAGTAACCAATCTGTAGTGCAAGAACATACATACTGTTTATCCAAAATAAAGCAGAATGATTTCTCAAAGCCCAGGAAACCTGCAGATATCCAGTGGGGTGAGAGAGGCTGAGCAGTGACCCAAGGATTGGAAGCCAGAGATAGGATGTGTGAGCAAGAAGGTTGCATTTAGTCTGCCCTTTGATTTACCTGGATCACAAGACTTTCTCTGTTACTGCACCAGCAGGAAAACTGATGGCAAGGAGCAGTGGTGAGGTGATTTGTCTGGGCAGAGTGGGTGGAACTGTGTCACTGGGCAGGGTTGTGCAATCTGAGGGTGGGGGAGACCCACAGTGGCCCCTCCTTGAGCCCCTGCATGCTCCTGTGTGCTCCCTGCAGGTGCTGTCGGTGCCCCACCGGCGGCTGGTGTGCTGCAGCCGCCTGTTCGAAGTGACCGATGTGAACAAAGTGCAGAAGCAGGCAGCTCACCAAAGGGAAGTCTTCCTCTTCAATGACCTGCTGGTGGTGAGTGTGCTTTGGCAATTAGGCACTGCAGTAATAAAACCTGCCCTGGTTTCTGTAAGGAAATCTGAAACCAGTCCACAACATCCATTTTCCCTCTAAGGACAGCTCCCAGTTCATCAACACTGTAAGACACAGCTCTGGACCCCTCACCATTAAAAACCTACTAAATCTAGAACTCCACTAAACCCTTGAAAAAACAAACTGTCACATCCCACAGCCATCCAAGCAATGTTATTGCTTTCTCTCCTGCCTTTGCCAGCAGGGAGGTTCATTTCATGAGAGGGCGGTTCATTTCTTTGTCTATTTGTACTACAGTACACAGAGCCCTCTCATGCCCTTTAAATCTTTCCTGCCAGACACTTTAAAATCACTGCCTTCTAACATGGAAAAGGCTGTAGCAGACTAGACAGTACTTATCAGACCCCCAAATGTGCAGAGTATTTTTGAAAGTGTCCTGCCCCAGCAATGGAATTGTGCAGGTACCAGAGAGCAGAGTTGCATTGAAACTGAAAGGAGGCCAGACAAAATGGAGGTTTGCTGAATTTAATGGCAAAGTAAAGCCGTGGTGGCAGCAGATGCAAGGCAAAACCCAAACCCTTTTGTAGAAGAAGAGGATAAGAGAGCTTTACCCAGCTACTCCTCTGCAGCCACTTGCACAGTTATGAACGTGGGGAGAGGGTCTGCTCCTTGCAGGGTCTGCTCCTGCAGGGTCTGCTCCTCCTCTACTCCATGGGATAAACCTAATCCATAAGGACTACAGCTAAGGCACAAGGGCAGCACAGCATTCTCATAGCTCTTGTTGCCAGCTCTAAGGTATTTATGGCAGGCTTCCCTTTGCCTTTTGGTCTGTTCCTCGGTGAAGAGAATTACCCTTTCAAACTCAAAATGTGGTGACCAAGCTCCTCTGGGAGAGAGCCGAGTGGGCCCACGGCGATGCCTACAGGACTCCAGAAGTGTTGTTACAAGGCAGCATTCCAGGCAGCTGTCCTGCAAAGAGCCAGTCATTCAGCAAACATTGCTCCCATGTACACTTAGCAGAGCTTTTTTGCCTTGAGCAGTTTGCATCGTTCCTGCCTCACTGTTCCCCAGCACCAATGATGCTTCTCTCCCTCCAACAGATCCTCAAGCTTTGCCCGAAGAAGAAAAGCTCCTCAACATACACATTTTGCAAGTCAGTCGGCCTGCTAGGGATGCAGTTCCATCTCTTTGAGAATGAGTGTAAGTCCACTGCTCCTGGGTGTCCTGGAGGGGTTTGGCAGGGAAAAGGAGAAGGAGGGAGCGGGCTGTGTGAGTCTGCATTAGGAGAGAGATTCTGTCAGAGCTAAAAGCAGAGGAGAGAAAACTAAGACTTGTGCCGAGGAGATCACTCTTTAGGTACACTGTGATGAGGAGAAGATCCTGGTACCTCTCCTAGGTCTGAGCATCTGCAGAAGGGTCTTATTGAAGGATCTGGCTTATTATGGTGGCAGGGACAGCACCAGTGGTGAAGACTGGGGGAAACAATCCCCCTATACATCCCACTGAGCTCCCAGAAGCCAACTGCTGGTGCAGAATCTTGTTCTTGACAGAACTGCTGCTGCCAGCTTTAGCCCCTCTCCCCTCATGCCCAAAGTCACAACCCCCACTGCTGCCTGTGATGCTGACAGAGGCAGAGGTGCTGCTGCCACCTCCCTGCACAGTGCCGTGCTGAGCTGAGAGCTTCCCAAGGCAGAGGCAGAGCCCTTGGAACAGTACCCACCAAAGCATGGCAGGAGGCCAGCCCTAGTGAGCCTGACCTTGATGGTCTGGGAATAGAGCCATGATGTGTCATGATTGGGGCTGGTTGTGCCGTGCAGGAGTTCCAGAAACAGGCAGGCTCCCTGCTGGCACAGGCAGAGGGGCAGCACAGCAGTCCCAGGCAAGCATGGCTGATGCCCCTGGGATCAGGGGCACAAACCCCTAGGATCACAATGCTCTCCATTGTGAGCACATGGAGAACATGCTACAAGGAAGGAAAATGTAGCAGTGTTGTGGCTATGCTAAGTTTTTTCTATCCCTCCTCTACTCTGCTGGCAGCATGAGTCACTCTCCCAACACCCTGCTCTGCAGCATGCAGAGGCTCCCACATCCCTGTGAACCAAAGGGGCATTCATACCTGAATATCCCCAGGAGGCACCATCAGAGCTGGAATCAGCTTTCAGGGCTAGCATGACTATCCTGGCAGTGCCCAAATCTTCTGGCAAAGGTGCCTTGTTGTGTATCTCCTGCAGAGATAGTAAAGCAAATGTGACAATGATCTTGTGATCAGAACAGATGAGAGAGATAGGGTGGGAAAAGAGCTTGGCACACAAACAGGGGGAGCAGAGGGCTGGCTGAAAATAACAGGTTAGGCCTTGGCTTGTTTGGGAAAGACTGATAAAGGAAGGCTAATAAAGGAAGGCTGCCCATGGAAGACAGGCAGATGTAGGAGCACTGGAAGAGAAGTGAAAGCAGGACAGGGGAAGACAGAAATTAAATTTAGAGGAATGTGAAAGGAAAGGAGGAAAGGGATTGAAACCACCAGCCACTGAGTAAATGATAAAGTCTAGTCAAAAGTGTGGCAAGTTCTCTGCATTCTTGTGTTCTCCTGATTCTGTTGGTTGAATGTCCAGTCATCACCTCCCTGCACACAAACCTGATCTTTAAAACATGAGCCCTTTTGCTGTTTATTTTCACTCTCTGGGCATGGCCCCTCATTTACATTCCTGTGTGTTGTGCCTGTGAGGGGCACTAAGCAGAGACCTACAAATACACATCTTTCCCTTTACCATTCTCTCTGCAGAGTGCAATGAGCTCCCCACCTGCACTGTGCCAACACCCCTCCTGTGTTCTCTGCAGATGAAAGGAGAGGCTGGGGACAAGTCCTGCCACTGTGGATGCAATGGCTCTGACCCCAGAAGACAACCTCTCCTGCTGCATCTATCACAGGAGAAAAAGTGTCATTGGCCTCATAAACACTGTTTACTCTTCCACAGACTGAGAAAGGCTTTACAGTCTTACCTCTGTGCTCAGGTTCCTAGGCCCAGTGCTGCAAAAGCAACTAAGAGCTAGAGTTCTCTGGTTTTGGCAGCTCTGTGGTGCTGGTGACACTTGCCTTGCTGCTGCAGCTTGGTCCTTCTGTTCTCTTGGAGGGCTGCAGTGCTGCAGGTTCCCACAGCTGGCAGAGTGACAAACTCTGGGTGTGCAATTCCATTGGACTCGTGCTGAAAACTCTCTGTCCTTCAGAAGTACCAAAAAAAAAAAAAAAACAAACTAATCCATCAAGAATGCCTAACACATCTTTATTTTGTTGGCACATCTTTTTTCAGATTACCCCCATGGCATTACACTGGTGACTCCAGTTTCAGGCTCAGAGAAAAAACAGGTACTACACTTCTGTGCTCTGGGTGCTGAGGAAATGCAGAAGTTTGTGGAAGACCTGAAAGAGTCAATAGCAGAAGTGACAGAACTGGAACAGATACGAATTGAATGTAAGGGTCTCTCATACAATTCACACTCCAATGCCATCACACTGCATGTGACTACAAGGCAAAAAGGGTAAAGGAAGTGTTCTTCAGGAACAGGGGCAAAGAGGATGAGCAGCACAAGTCTGCACAGGGTGTTCCTGGGTTCACTGAGAGGATGAAAAAGCACACTGTGACCACCAGCCAGCAGGAGAAATGGAAGGACTTAACTACTTACAATGCTTATGGGACAGGGAGTGTGATACAGCAGCCTGGAATAGGGAACTTAGACTGCCACACCCAGAAGATTCTTTTCTGTCCCATACTCCTTTGACTATGCAAGCATGATCTGTAAGTAGCTGGGATAGATCTCATACCTTTAACAGAGCTGTCCTGAGGGCAAGCAGTCTGTCACTCCATGGTCTTACACAGACAAGATGTCCATGTAGCCTTTGATGGCCTTTCCAGGTACAAACTGATGAGCCAAAGTAGCTCAGCTGCAGTGGTCCCCATCTGTGCAGCACTAGCCAACCCTGTATAAATGTAGGTCATATGTAGAAGGTCCTATAGAGATACCCAAGTTTCTTCACATATCAAATCCTCTCCAGTTTCTGTTTTTTCTTGGCTGTTCCTCTCTCTCTTCTTGACACTCACTCATGATTTCCTTGCATTAATTCTCCTTGCTGACTTCTCATTTTGTTCCTTCAATATGCTGGTGACCTTCCCTCCATCCCCCCCTCATTTGTTTCCATATGTCTGTTTTGCAGGGGAACTGGAGAAACAGCAAGGGACGAAGACTCTCTCCTTAAGGACCAATGGAGCCCAGATGGAGCTGCAGTCTAAGCAAGGTTCTCCAACAGGTAAGAGGGCACCCAGCACCCAACTTTTTTTGGTCTAGAAGTGCTGCCTTTGCAAATGTGTTCTCACTGGTGCCTGTGAAAATAACAGCAAAAAGAAGTGTTCAGTTTTGTGTCCTTTAGCCTTGGCCAAATAGTGAAAATACAAGAGCATATACATTCTTCAAATACCCTAGAAAAGCCCTTGAAGTCTCATTACCCAGCCTGTAGCTGTAATACCTGGTAAAGAGCTGTTACTCAGAGACAGAGCATGGGTAAATTCTGAAGAACCTGGCCTAATTTTCTTCCCTGAACTGATAAAATGTACCCCACTAAGCAGCTAACATGTTGCAAGAGGGTCTGGATTGGCCTTGCACCTCTCCCTTTAACTCTCCAGTCCACAGTATGAGGACCAGCTCTTGACTAGAGGGACAGATCTCATGAGTGAGATATTTTGTTTTATTTCAAAGGCAAGAAGGATTTGGGGGAGAAGGTCTCGGACAGCACAGTGGAGGTAAGTAGAGTGCAGAGCAGCTGAGGTAAGTAATTCTCTCTCACTTCAGCACTTCTCACATTCTCTGTTGTTTCTTTTCTCAGGTTTTAATCAATGCCTCCCCAGCCAGACTGACAATTTTACCAATTTCCAGAGATACAATTAAAAGTTACTGCTAGGACGGGTAATACAACTTTCAAATCCAAACTAAACTTCAAAGCATTTTCAATCCTTTTCTATAACTGTAACATCCTTCATGGACCAAGCTCCCAAACGCTGTAGACTAACCCACCCCACTGCTTCTGGGGAGACTGAAAACCCCTCTAAGGACTTCCCTGACATGCTAACTCCATGCAGCATCACATGCAAATTCCCCACAGCCCAGCTTTCCTGCACTATCTCTGCAGCTCTGTCTCTCCATCCCCCTGAAGGGGATTGAGCATGGCCTTTGTACACCAGACTTTCCTTAGAGCTTCACCTTCCTAGGTAGGGAGCTTGGCTGTCCTGTGTACATCTATCTTTGCAGGAATGTCCAGCATCCAGTGGGTTGCCTGTTTCTTCACATATACCCTTACTCTCACTGCCTGTGAGGAAACAGGAAAATGCAATCTTCACACTGAAAATCTTATCAACTACTTCCTACTCTGTCTCTGTCTGAAATATCTCCATTGTCCTGAACCTTCCCTTTTTCAGGGTAGTTCTCTCCCCTCTTGTCAACATGTATTTACTTAAAGAATTTAGCTTCTCTGTGGGGAGTAGGTGCTGCTTCTTTTCCCTGGAGAGCACCCTGTTTTGCTGCAGACACCCCCTTCCTGGGAAAGGTGCCTCTGCCAGCCATTTTCCTATTCCTGTTGGGAGAAGTGTCTCCCTGTGTAGAACAGCTTCCATGTATCCTAATGTCATTGGCACTTCATGGCCCAGCATCCAGTTTTTCCTGTGGGATGTTCCAACACTTGAACAAATATTGACACAATATTATGTCCTGCTGTGTGGTGAGTCTGAGCGACCTCCATGTCTGGATAGAGACAGACAGCTCATCCTTGTTCCAGCATAGTGGGGAGCTTGGTCACATCACAGCTTCTCCTTCCCAGTTGCTGGTGCAGCTGCTGACTCTGCCAGACCCTCAGGGCAGCCCCACTGTCCCCCCTGTAACCCTGCCTGGCTGGAAGTGCCACGCTAACCTGCGAGCACTTGTTTCCTACCCAGGGCTTGTCACTTGGCTGACATTCTGTTTTAAGCCAGCAACTTAGCTCTGTTTTGGGGTCTCCATCAGCCCATGTCCTTGCCAGGAAGAACTATAACCTCATCCATCATTTGGGAAGCGTTATTTCCCTGCTGCACTTCTCCTGCTAGGGACTTCCCGTCCAGGCCAGCTCGTCCTTTTCAGACTGGTCTCAGTGAGCTCCCTTATTTGATTCCATTATCAGCATCTCAATGTGGAAACCCTGATGACCTCCTGCTTCCCTACCTGCTTTCAGCTGACCAAGTATTACTCTGCCAGCAGAGGAGCATTTCCATTTCTCTGAGATTATCTAATCTGCTGCCATTTCATCATGAATTTCTTTTATCATTGTATGAGCTAGATGGGCATTTTTGGTTTCTTTTTTTTTTTTAAATCATTTCCTTTCACTGACAAACCACCAAATGGAGCAGAGGGAGCTGCCTTTTGCTAGACTATGTCAGGTTTCTGCTTTTTCCTTTGTAAACAGATTAGCCAGTCATGTGGTGTACCTTCCTACTTAGAAAGGCAGGGAGCTGGGAAAGTCTTGAGTTTCTCTGTCGCTCTCTATCTCAGATTCAGCTGCTGTCATTTTGCTGAAACGTACAGCCTCGATTATCTGAAACCTTGTGGTCTGGTCCCCCTCTCCTTTCTGCTGGTGGGGACAAAGTCATGACCTCGAGGTCTGTTCATTTCCATGAGAATTCACGGACACTTCCACTCTTAGAATCGATGTGTGTTCCCTGTGCTGTTTGGATAATCACTGCATTTGGGAATGCCGGCTCTGCTGCCTTTGACGTGATGGAAAGGACAGGGACACTTAGGCTGGATGGGGACAATGGGGCTGTTGAGGGGGACTGTGCAGCCAAGATCATACCTATTCTGGTTTTTTGAGGGAGGGAGGGTTAAATGCAAGTGAGCTCGTCTGGTGGCGGGGGTTCAGGGCAGCCAGTAGCAGCGGATGGGAAAAGTCTTGTAACATTTAATGCTTCTTTGGCTGTTTCTAAACTAGGTGTCAATTCACAACAGGCTTCAAACGTACCAGCACAACTCCGCCCTGGGGCCCGAGAGTGGAATGCAGCCCAGCATGCGTCTTAACATGCCACGGGAGCAGCTGGAGACAGCACTGGTGCCCTCACACCCCGCCTCGGCGGGGACACTTGTACAGTGCCAGCAGATTGTCAAAGTCATTGTCTTGGACAAGCCGTGCCTCGCTCGGATGGAGCCGGCCCTCAACCAGACTCTGACACGCTACGTCACCTCCGACTCCTGCACCTCCACCCCCTGGCGCGGTGTGGGCAGTGGGCTCCCTGGGACCCCCATGAAGCTGGTCCATCAGCCTCCCCTGCCACCTCCACCCCCTCCCTACAACCACCCCCACCAGTACTGCCCCCCCAGCTCGCTGCTTCAGAGGCGCAGGTATTCCAGTGGCTCTCGCAGCCTCGTGTAGCCACACCACCAGCATCAAACAGCACAGACTTCCTCGCTTCCCTTCCCCACCACCTCCCAGGGACCCTTTCTGTCTACAGAGATCTAGTTTGTGATTTATTTTTTAGTAAAACAAGAACAAAAGATTAAAAAAAAAGCCAACTGACCTAACTCTTACCCTGTCTCCCCTCAAGATGACGCTATTTGTGAGGAGCCATCTGTAGAAACTGCCAACCTACATGCTCACACATCCTCACACCCTGCCAGCCCAGCTGGCCTCTGTGCTCGTGTTGTCCCCATGTAGCACTTTGCTGCCCTGTTCCTCAGAGGCTTGATGACCTGCTGCTTTCTAGGCACCGTGTCTTCCGTTTCCTACTCCTTAACCTCCTTTCCTGCCTTGCATTTACCTGGCCATAGGTTTGTACCCACCCAGCCTCAGAGAGAAATGGACTCACCTGTGCCATACCTTGGGGCATTCCTGGGGGTGGAGTTCTCCCTGCCACCATCACTGCCACCTGCTAAGCTGGAGTGAGAACTTGCACCACTTGCCACGCTTCCTCTTCATCGCTCTCCAAGTATTATCTCCTTGCAGCAACCGGCTCCAAATGGAGGAGTGCACGAGTGGAAGAGAGCTTGAGAGGAGGAGAGACTGTCCTGAGCTGCAGTACAAGTACACAAAGATGGCCTCACTGAACACCAAAACTTTTTCTGTTGTTATGTTGGAGCATTGTACCAGAGACCTCTGCTGAGACCTAGCAGACCTCACCACGTGTAAATACACCTGTATGGTAGCACACGTATGCGCATGCTTACTAAGGAAACACCAAGCAGTTCTGAGGGAGCAGAAGGGAGGGCTTCAGTCCAGGGATCTTCCTGGAATGGATCTGTGCTTTTCCAAAGAGACAGCACCGAGAGGTGCCCTCCCACCTCACCACACACACCCCCCACAAACACATACAGGAGATTGTCTTCTCTAAAACAGACCCACCTCTGCTTTCCTTCTTCTGGCTGGTTTTGTGTTTCCTGCCCACCTGCATTTTTGTATTCTGAAAGCAAAGCTGAGTGTTATGTTCACCTTTTGGGGTGGGCTCTTCCACCTGTGTTAGAGGGAAGGGACTTCTTGAAGACCACTTATGTGAGGTCCCATCTGTATCTCTTACCTGTATCTCTTACCCCTATATTCTCACCTCCATCAGCCCTTCCTATAGGAAAGCTGCCCAGATACCAGACTCCAAAGCCTCTTCTTTCTCTCTCTCTATCCCAGCTTCAAAGTGAGAGGAGGGGCAGATCCTGAGATAGAGATGACAGCTCAGCTCCTCTGCTTTATTGGGGACATTGATGTGAAGGAAGACAGCATTAAAAATGGGCTGTGGATGTATTTTTAGAAAAAAAAATCTCTTTGTGCAATAGCTGGGGGGAAGGTATTAATTAGCTTAAAGGCTTTGGTCTCACTCACTCATTCTATCTCCCTTCGAGGTTTAAGAAGATCAACTTTAGGATTCTAAAATAGGACAGAATGCCTTTTAGGGCCTTTATTTTTATTTTATTTTATGAGGGAAAGACAGAAATGCTCTTCCTTCCTGTGCAAGGCTGAGACATGAGCAGCGAGTGCTGATGATGTAATGGCAGGGTAAGGAATGGCAGGAGTTGTTGCCAGTGGTAGGAATGTGCAAAATGTCAGGACATGGGGGACAGCAAAGACAGATGCAGAAAACTTTTTTTAACCTTGTGGGATAAAAGCCACACAGCAATTTCCTTAGGGATTGTGCCAGTGCGCTGATCTCTGGGGCCATTGCCAGTGACAGAAGCCACAGGGCATCAGGGACGGGCTTGGCTCCCCTCAGTGCTCCCTGGATGCTTGCTGGCTGTGCTGGAATGTTCAGGGAGAGAGTTCACACATCTGACCTGGGCAGAAGCCCAGCTGGAGTTAGGGAAACAGACAGGGGCTGGAGTGACAAGTCTCCTGCACTTAGCCAGCCCTCCAGGGCAGGAGCCTGCTCACTTCCAGGTCCCCCTCAGTCTGAGCATGACCCATGGACCCAGCTGTGCCAAGAGTTCTGACTTGTTTGCTCAGCTGGGCACCAGGCTGCCACTTCTATCTGCAATAGCAAATGTACCGACTGTGAGCCCACAAGCAGAGCCTCAGGGAAGACTGCAGAAGCAGATGACAGAAAAGATTGTAAGAAAACCCTGAATAGAAGCCCAGTCTCCCTCCAGACCAGAGAAGCTCACTCCTAGCCAGCCCCCCAGGGCAGTTTGGATGCTCTGCATCCTGAACTGGGTGCTGGAAGAGGTCCTCACCCCTGGCCAGGGCTCAGCCCCTCACCCCCCAGCCAGCTGCGAGGCACAGCTGGCCTGGTGTGCTGCTGACTCCCTTCAGGGTGACACCCTGCTGCCTCACAGCAGCCAGAACCTCATCTGAGCTGCCCATAGCTTCCCAAGAGAGCATGTGTGGCATCTGCCATTTTCTGGTCATGCAGTGTGTGGCTGCTGTTGCTTTTGCTCACTGCTGCAGTGGAATGGGTGTCCAGGAGGCACTGGCACTGTGCCCCCTTCCCAGTAGTTATTTCACTGGCTGAGAGGAATGTCAGCACTAGTTCAGTTTTGGTTTTTTTTTCCAGAGTGCAGTGTGCCAATGAAGCTCTGTGTGTTAAAATAAATAAATTAGATTTTACTTGACATTTAACACAAAGTGACAACAGCAAAAAAACCTTAAGATACTTGAGGAAATAATTTTTTTAGATAAAATATTTATAACAATGCATACAAAGTTTCTACACAAGATGTTTGCTGCTTTAATAATTGATTGGGAGAGCTACAAGGATCTAAAGAGGAAATAAGGAAACTGCTTGAGACTCCCTTCTGCATGCTGGGTGAAGGGTAGAAGTGAGTGAACTCAAGTGATGAAGTACCTGAGGCAAAGTATTCTCTCAGGGCAAGTTGGTTCTGTTTCCCTGACCTTGCAAAGGCTACTGCTGGCCTTGAGCTTTGGACAGAGAAGCAAATGTAGATAACTCTTCTGTCTTCTAGCCTGCTGGCTACCCTGTGTTCTGCTGGGTTTAGCTGGAGAGGCACAAAACAGCTCTGTTCCAGCTTGTCATGGAACAGGGTGGTCAAAATTCCACTGTGGAGCCGCGCCCTTCGGACTTCACTTCAAAATACAGATTTTTTTTTTTTTTTTGAAGGTTGGTCTCAAAGGATGACAAGCACTTTAAAATATATCTGCACCTCACCTGATCTATTTTATTGTCTGCTCCTGCAGTCCTCCCACACAGACTCAGTGTAGCCCTACAGCTGTGAGCAGACACCCTTGCACACAGACTGACAGGGTGCAGGCTAGAAGGGGCATCTCAGTGACAACCTAGTGAAGGACAAAATGTGTGCCACAGCCCACCTGGAGGGACCAGCCCAAAGAAAAATCACCAGCTCTTGACAGCAGGGATTCTGATCATGAACCTAGCACAATCTTTCAGGTGGAGGAGTCGGGCAGGGAGCTGCTGCAGAGATGAGCTCAACCCAAATGAACCAGTGTCTTTTTGCTGCCAAATTCATGTCCTTCTATATTAAAAAGGGGGCGGGGGGGGGGGGGGGCGGAGAGAGAGAGAAAACAGAAACAAAACAGAAACCTAGTGAAAAGTGTTCTGCAGTGAGTGTTGGGTAGTCAGTGGCCAAATGAGAAGGTGGCTTTGCTGAACAGTAGGAGAGACTGAGCTGTGTTACGTCAGGCTCTGTCCTGATGCTCGCTCTTGCTGGTGCAGGCCCAGTGAAATGAATCTGTTTGCACCAGTAGCAAAGGGATGGGAAAATGTGACAGGAGAATTGAGCCTTGCAAACAATTTGGGTTTAATGCAGTGCTTTTCCGCTGCCACAGTAATTTTTAATGCCATAGTCTTGGCTGCTGGGTTAGCAACACTTTGTGCTTTCACGAGGCTTTCAAAGCATCCCTCTGCTCGCATTTCCTCTCCTTCTTGTAGATGAAAGGTGAGGGTATGGTCCACAACCTGAATTTCATCAATATTCATACTGAAAGGTACCACCAGATTTCGATGCATTTGAGGGCCTCCAAGCCATAAGGGTTTGAGTTTTGTCACCTGTTTCTCAGAAGGCTCAACCTGCAACTATGTGCACGTGTTTCTGAGGTTTCCAAAACCAATCTGAGCCCTAAACCAAGGATGCTGCTGCTTGGCAGAGCCTCTGCTTTGAAATGCAAGTTACTGAGCAAACTCCCCCCGTCTCCCACTCCACCAGCTGCCTCACTGTGCTAGTGTAGGCTCCAGGGACTGCCAACAGTGTTTTGTGAGCTAGAGCTGTCCTTGTCCTGCCCTCTCCTTCGCAGCCATGCCTGGGACAGCAGCTTTGAAGTCACCCAGCTCTTCAACACTAGTCACAACCCCATCTGAATGTGTCTTTTTAAAATCTAACAACAGAAGTGTTACCTATGCGTAGGCTTTTGAAAGCACCTGTCTGTCTGTACCTGTCTCCTGCTGTAAATATCACCAACAAAAGCTTCCTTTGGGAAAAGTGGTGTGGTCACACCTAGCAAAGAGTCCAAATGGCAAATATTTTGTAACAAAAATAACAAAAATAGATCAGAGGTATTTTATCTGTTCAATCAATAGAGTTTTAGAAATTATATTGAGATAATGTCACTTGTGCTCCAATGTCTTCTTTGCCTCAGCCCCCGCCCCGGTGTCCCTGGGCTCCAGCGGCGTGCACAGGCACACAAGCATGTACCAAGGGGTGCTCCATGGAGTGCTGAGCATCCTGGGCTCCTGCTGGCCTCAGGGGCAGCCTGCTCTGGCTACTGCTCTTTTCTTGCCAAAAGCAGCAGGAGCTAGCTCAGTGCCCAGGCTCTCTGAGGATCAGATCCAGAGGAAAACAGGAAGCAATAAACTTGTTCAGAAGGTGGCAACTTAACTGTGAAATTCACCCCTGCAAGGAGGTGGAGAGGAAAATGGTGAGGAGGAAGGCAGAGCCCTTTTGTGCTACAGCTCATTGCTGTCCATCTTGCTGGATGCTCTC